TATTTTATTCAGATCTTGCTGGGGAACGGGAAGCCAGTCTCCCAAAATAATCTCAAAAAATAAAGGAGCAGTTGAATTCTAAGCATGTTGACTGTGAAGCAACTCCTACAAGATTCAACAGAATGGCTTCCTTACGGACGATACCACTAGCATGCTTCCAACTGGCAAAGCGCTGCCTCTTAAGCAATTTCTTCCACCCACACAAACCAAACCAGAAGCTTGACATTGTTCGGTGTTTAACAAACAACCTCCTCCTTCCAGTTGTTGCTTAAAAAGCCGGTTTTACCACTTGAGCAGATCGTAGGACTTGATGGCAGAACAGAATGGAATGTCTTCAGTCCTACAAAGATCTAGGAGACAACACCCGTGGCCTCCTGCTGAATATTTTACAAGAGCAGCCAGAGGAGACATGTATAAATCACGTATTTTAACCGGATACAGATATGCTGGGGGGAAAAACATCTCAGAACCAGGAATTTCAGCTATGGTATTTCTCTGCACAAGTAGAAGCCATTCACTTCTTTACGCCAAGACATTCGGAGGAGAAGTGTGATTTTTCTAGCAAAATCCATACACCACACATCTAATTTCTTATATTAATCTCTGTAGATTAATACAAAAAGATCAAAATGGAAAGACTCCATTCAAGGATCCCGGAGAAGTCAAGGCCAGGAATTCATCCAGCTTGCTTTTCAGAAAATGTCCAAAAGCCAGTCCTTTTCGCCCCTACGTGGGACAACACTGGGAGGAAGCCACCCCGCGCGACCTGGTGGCCTCTCCGGAATCTCTAACCGGAGCTGTCAGAGCAGATCTTCAGAGCAACTCTCCAGAGCTGTGGCGGAAGGCAAGGAGGTGCCTTTCTTTGGAGGCGAGGGAAGCTGCAGTGCTCCCCCAAGAAGCCCTGGCTGGACAAAAGGGAAACCATTGCAACGGGATGCATGCCTGGCACTCCATCCCTTAAGGGCGAAACTGGCAAGGGATGCCCTCTGAGAGCCCGCTGGCTGCCGTCTGACAACAGGCCATGACCTCCCTTGATCTGCTCCTCCTCCTCCTCCTGGGTCACGGCTGAACTCGCCCTTCCTAGGGGGCATCCTGTGTGTGTGTGTGCGTGTGCGTGGAGGAAAGGAGATTAGCAACGCCTGGTGACCCGTTTGCAGGCACGTGGGAAAGAGCTCCCCTTGTTCCAAAGAGTTCCACCCCGGAAGGGGCGCCTCGCCCGTGCAGCAAAAGGAGCCAAGTCGCGGCCACGTCGGAGGGAACACCTAAAAAAAGCCTCCCTGCACTGCAGAAAGCGGCCCTCCGAGCCCAGCGCACGGAGCCACCCCTGCTGCCCTCGCAGCTCTAGCCGGGCGGCGGCTGAGAGCCCGGCCGCCCCCAGCCCGGGCCCTTTCCTTACAAAAAAAAACCAAAGCCAGCCCAAGTATTCCTGCTTTTCCCGGTGTCTAGACACAAAGGACGCGGGCCGGCCGGCCGCCCCTCTGCGCCTTTTGTCTTCGCTCTGCTCCACGGGAGCAAGTCCTGTTTCTTTAAAAGCCGGGCGGGGAGGCTACCC